ATAGTCAATCAAATTGGAAATAGTATCATCCAGTTTGTGTTCGTTGAAAAGTTCCCAGTTTGTGTCATTTAGCATACATCTTAGTTTGAGCACATTTTCCTGTGAGTAACACCTTTGCTGTGTTTTCCTGGACAGATTTGAGAAAATATTAAAGTGAGATCTACTGGATATCTTAGGTAATATCCGAATAATATGCCCGCTTAATGATGCTTTCTTCCCTAATGTAACGAATAAAAATGTTGGTGACTTTCAAGATTTTAACACTGCTAATGTTCTCAAATGTCTGAAATCTCTAAAACCTTGGTCTTGATGGTGCACCTGCTATTGTCCTTGGATGTGCTGATATTTTATACTTTGCCCTCATAAACATTTTCAATGCTTCCTTTTCCAGTTAAATCATTCTGATTCCAAAGTCATATTCTGGTAATAATCTTAAATTTGGAACTATTGTGACTACCTCCACTTTTTAGAAATTACTCTTACTCAACTTTGAAAAGTGTTAACGAACTCAAACAGTTTGCTTACAAACACAGCAGAACTACTCTAGATGGTACTACTGCTGTCTTACATCATAATAGTGTTTCTTCTATGACAAAGTGGCCATATACCTTCCTTCACTACACATGTGCTCTTCACCCTGTGCCTAGATGCCTTCTGTCAAATAACTTTCCTCTGATATAAGAATAAAACTTGTGCACTGTGGTAGAGTATAATTCCATTATGGGTAAAAGTTTGTTTTTGATAAAGGTACCCACACAACTTTCTAACTTCATTTACATAATTCCATTATTTTTCATCGCTTGATTTGATTGGTACGTCATCAGTAAAGATTACTGTATAACACTGTGAGACTTTATCAAAAACAAAATTTTACCCATAATGGAAGTTTCCTCTGACACAAACTAGGTCCTGGGCTGTCAACTGGTTGCATTCTTATCTCTCTAAGAGAATGCTGTATACTGTACATAAAGGCGAATCTTCCTCTACCTCGCCTGCTTACTGAAGTTGGAGTCCCTCAAGGTGCTGTTCTCTGTCCCTTTCTTTCTTCTATCTTCTTACACGACTTTCCTTTTCCGGATAAAATCTGCTTCGTGAAATACGCTGATGATGATCTGACCGTCTCGTTGCCACTTATGTACCAATTTGACTGTCCCAAACTTAACAGCTTTTTATCGGATATCAGCCAGTGGTCCAAGCTAAACGGTCTCACTTTGAATCCCTCTGAATATCAGACAATTAACTTCACTTCCAGACATACGGGCATTACTAGCTAATATAGGTGCATGTTGGAAAAGAGTAAGTGGTGGCCAAACAAAAACATGGCATCAATCCATGAAATCCTTGACAGTTAAACTGAGTCAAGTAGGGAGATGCAGACTTCCGGGTCTGGGCCCTCGGGACTCTAGAAATCAATGGCTGGAGACAATAGGTGACATGCCTCAAAATCGTTGTCAATGGCGCAGATGTATTCAGTCTCTGTAATCTTTCATATTCCTTTCTACCATTACCCATTCTGTTTCACTCTTATACTTGTCAGACTGTATTGATTCTCTTCACTCATCTTCTTGTCTACCTTTGTGTGCTATTTGGAACGTGTCAACTCGAACTGCTGCACTTCGGTGCCAAGTTCTATGTTGAATCCAGACAGACAGACTTCCAGACATAAATGTGATCCAGAAGAACTGGTCTGTTCACACGATGCTTTTAGCATAGGGGTCACTGAAACAGAAACCAAGTTAATAAAAAAATATCTTGGAATAGGTCAATTCTCTGACTCTCCTTGGTCATCCCGTATCTTGTCGATTTCGAAGGAAAATGTTCCGTCTATCCACCTCCTACATTAAGAAGTTGAGACAATCTGGAATCACTAGACTTCTACTTTTACAGTTTCGTTAACTCTTTCACCTTACCTAGTATACTTTTCTGCTTCTCCTCAGTCTTCCCTGGGCGATTCAAAAAAGATTATATCATACTGTGGGGGGTTATCAGTAGGGCGAGTAGTGTGCCACTTAGTCAGCTTGTAACTAGTATAGTCGACAGGCACTTGAACTTATGTGAGAAATGGTCCAAATCTATATATTGTTCGACTCTCAACACCCTCTTTATTCTCAATTCTACCCTCCCTTCTATCTACATTCGTTGCACGTTTCTCGACATCACTTCTGCTTTTGACTCTGTACCTAGATGTCTGTTGCTAAATAAGCTCTCGATGACACAAACTGAGTTCATGGTTACTAACTGGTTGCATTCCTATTTCTCAAACAGAATGCAGTACACTGCATATAAAGGTAAATCCTCCTCACTGAATCTGGAGTCCCTCAAGGTGCTGTACTCTCCCCACTTCTCTTTTCTTTCTTTATACATGACTTACCATCTTCAAATGACATTAATTTTGTTAAATATGCTGACCATCTGACTGTATCCTTGCCTGTCAAGTGTCAAAGTGACTGCTTCAAACTAAATGGCTTTTTATCAGAAATCAGCCAGTGGTCCAAGGAAAACGGTCTTACCTTAAATCCCTCTAAATGTCAAACAGTCAATTTCACCTTTAGGCAAAAATCTGACCTAAACAAACTGGTTAGCACTCACGACGTGTGCAACATAGATGGCACTGAAATACAGACCAAGTCGGAAATTAAACATCTTGGCGTCATTCTATCTGCTGATCTTTCCTGGTCGTCTCATATCTTGATGATTTCTAAGAAAATATTCCGTCTTACCTTCTACATCAAGACATTCTGGAATAGCCCAACCTTACAATTCGCTAACTCTTGCATCCTGCCTATTATTCTCTATTGTTCCCCCTTAGTTTTTCCAGGGCTGCTGAAGAAGGACTGTATCTTATTATGTAGGGTGTTAAAGGTTGTCAGCAGGGTAAGCAATGTGCCACTTAACCAGCTTGTTAATATTCTGGTTGACAGGCACATGGACTCATGTGAAAAATGGGCTAAATCCATTCTATCTATCTAACTCACACCACCCTCTTCATTCACAACTCTCCCCTTGTATCTCATCAGGCAGGACCAGAAGCCTATATAGAAAACGATATGCTCGGACTAGTAAGTACAAAAACTCAACCATACCCTACTTAGCTCGTGTTGTGTACGATAAAGAAAGCATTAGGCGTGATACCTATAACTTGTTAAATAGTCAGTAGAACAGTTGCATCTCGTCTTTCCAACTCATATCAGTTATAGGTACGTTTTCTTTCTTCCTTACAAACCTCACTTTTGTTGTTATGCGCTGTTTTGTTTCTCTCTTCCTAACAAACTCTACTTAAAGCATTCTTCTTCGTTCTTTCACAACCTGTATATCTCGACCTTTTCGTTACCGCTTACACCAGTAAATATCCTAGTATCTACTTCGTTAACACCTTCAGACATCTTGTTCACTTTTGGCTTTGCTACCGGCGTGCTAATATGTTGTTGTCATAGTGAACTGAGACTACCCATAATCTATGTAGAATTTAATTTATTGAATAATGTACTAACTGGATGCAGTACTGTAGTGAAATGGTGAGAATTCCATTCTGTATCACAAGTACTGTTTTAGAATAAAGCAAATTATTATTATTATTATTCCTTGTATCTCATCAAGTAGAACTATCAACCATTGTAAAAGAATATCTGCTCGTACAACCAAGTACAGAAAACCAACGATACCATATTTGGCTCTTTTATTCTCTCCTGTTTGTAATCTACGGTGACACTATTTCAAATAATTCACATAATTTCGCTACTAACATTATTTTACACTTTGTGTATATTTTTGACTCTACTGTCACTGCAAATACCAAAAAGCTGCTATTATCAATCCTGTAATATTAATTTTTAGTTTTTGCTGTTGTCCAGTAAATTAAATGCAATGCTGTACCAAATCCTGAGAATCCCACATTGTATATCATAAGTACTGTCTGGGAATAAAGCAAATTATTATTATTAATATTAAGAATTCTTCTACACCCTACTATAAATAAGTACAAAACATTCGATCCCAAATTATATTAGCACATTTTCGTGGTTGCGCTGATGGAAAATTTGTGTCACATGCCGTTGGCGTAATCACTACTCCTTATCACCTTCGACAAATGAAAATATCACTAAGATACTTCCGCTTATCAATACTATGCCGAATCATGCTCTCTCTCTCTCTGTTTTGTCTTCCCCGATTCACACTCATGTGCAAAGCCTCAGGATGGTCGGGGGTGGGTGTCTTGCGCTGCGGGTTAGCCACCCCTCCGTACACCTCTTGAAACGCTCCCATATGACCGTGCGTCTTACATAGCCTCTCCTGAGGAAGTCCTACTCACTGCCTTCACGTGGCGGAGGTGTTTATTTCACCGAAGTGAGAGGGCGAAAGCTGATGCCCGGCGCTCTTCACCGGGTTGACTGTCCATTGGATGACAGTCTAGCGGAGATGGCTAAACCCTGATTCCAAACCTCCAACGACTGGTGTATGAAGCTCACCGGCAGACGTATGGACGAAGAGCTCATTGGATGCCCTGGATGTCTGGCCCCATTCAAAAAGGCGTATGAACCGGACTCCGGTCACCGGCTGCCAATGGATAGTGGACTCCCTACTCCACTCCTACTGCCTTTTAGGTCACACTTGGTTGTGTAAAGGCTAGAGTTGTACTCTCAAACAAAAGGCCGAGTGATGCTGGGGACATCACTTGTACCCAATTCCCATGAAACTTCATCAACTCTCTTACAAACATTCGAGATGTTCATGAAGCCGGTTCATCCTCCCGTAGGAGATAGCCGAAGTAAAGTAAAGTAAGTAAGCAAAGCTCTACATCTATCCGTCAATCAGACGAGAAGTCAAGGCGGTCTTTCAACTCTCTGTCTCCCAATTTGTGGATCCGGGTGATTGCATACAGGTTAATCGATAGAACTTCGTTTATTTTTTTCTCAGTGTGAGAATATGATCCGGTTGTTTGTGCAGTAATCAATAGACCAAGGATACTTCCCCCGCCTACCCCCAAGGAAATAAGCAGTATTGTCGTATTAACATGTCTATTGCTTCAACGATACACTCATAATTGCAATTCAATAACTTATTTACAAACAATGACAAACTTTAACACAATGAACACTGTACATGCAACAAATTAAATTATGCTCCCTTTTTGAGGTTCTGTTATCTCAGTCAACTTCGTCTAGCAGTAAATGTCACATAGACAGTGAGATGAACTAATTAAAACTAGTTCAGAATGACCGGTTACTGTTAAGACAACTTAAACACACGTCAGTTAGCTAGCTTGTTTAAGTATCCATCCCCTCAACTTAAAACAAACAGAAGGTATATAAAAGTTTATTTAACCAACGCTTAATATCAAATAAAACAGAAGATAGGAAAATAATAGTAATAAAGATTCTGGAGAAAGACACAAAGTATGTATAAATATATACAAATGAATACACCCAGCATTTACATAGGTAGAAGACACCTCAGGCTACAAAAGCACCTGAAATACTTTTAATTCAATACAGCTCGCCTTGGCGGCATTGGCAATCTCTGATGCTGATGATTGGTCAACTGTTTCGGAAATTCTACTTCACCACCATTATTCAATGAAGCAGAATCGAATTTATTCGCAGGTGTACACACTGATGAAGAGAATGAGCTGCAAGCACCTTCTTGAACGTTGAAGGATGTAGACTCAACACTGCACTCCTCTTGATTCCACTGTTTCTTAAAATTATATAGTGTAAGATTCATACTGCTGAGTAACTTATTTGTATGCATAATTCTGGCAACAGCTACTGCTAAGGTGATACAACCAGATAGAATAATAGGAATGCCTACATAAGATATAGATAAATGGGAACTATGACCACCATTAGTCAGCCCGAAGCAAATGCCCAATATGACAAGAACAATGCCTACAAGAATGGTACAAATGCTTGTGGCAAGAAGAACATTTGCAGGAGCGATAACAGTACGATAATCCGCTGAACAATTTTTAGGGGCGTTCATAATCCAAAAAGAATTCAATGCCGATAAGTGATCTGAAAAAGAAGTTCAGTTTTGGTACATTGTTAAGCATTGTTTGAAATCATTAGTGAAAAAAAAACCAAAAGAAGTACAATGATAAACACACGAAAGGGACTGTGGAACATAGGACTTTTTATCTTGCCGCAAAAAGTACGATAAATTTATTAAGGGCCATTGTTTTTACCGCCTGTTACCTTTTTATCGAGTAACTCAGGATAGATCTGTGATCCTACTAGATATGTGAAGGTGTTACACGTCAACTATACGTATTATGCGTAAAAAAAATACTTCACCATTATTTTAACACGATAATGAGTCAACTAATAGCATTACTTTAAAGAGAATACTAACCTGCTAGTCTGTACTGTCGTTTACCTATTATGTAATACCGCGCCTCTCACTTCAGCATTTACGTCATGTCATTATTTTCAGGCCCTGGTTTGTAAGGATTTGATTGATCACAGGTTTGGTCACAAGCTGAGATCATCGGTTAAGGAACCACTACAATGTGTTACGTATGCCAAGTCGTCGCCTCCCTCGACGAGCTATGTTAGCGAATATAGGGTCAGGCTGGAAAAAAGCTAGCGGCGGTCAAACAAAAACTTGGCATCAGTCAATGAAATCCACAACAGTTGGTCTAAGATACGTAGAAAGGTGTAGACTTCCAGGCTGGGGTCCTCGGGACGGTAAAAATCTATGGTTGGAAACAATTGGTGACATGGCTCAAAACCGTTCTCAGTGGCGCAGATGCATCCACTCCCTGTGACTTATGATCTCCAATGAAACTGTTTTGTTATTCTTTATTCTCCTTTGTCTCACACCTCTCCTCACTGTTTCTATTATGCTTTTCTTGTACTTTCTTCTCTTGCTTCGCGTGCTACACGGAATGTGGCGACTTGAATTTCCGCACATTTGTGCAAAGTTCTATGTCGAAAACAGACAGACAGACTACAATACCGCGAAGTACTGGACAGCTATTTCGTAATGGTTTGGGACTCCTCGTCGGTACACACCCATCGGGGTTCGAGCCCAGGACCTCCCAGGTACAAGGCAAGCTCGTAAGCTGTTCACCCACTTAGACTTGATCCAATGGTTTATGCACTCCAACTTCTGCCAACTCCCAATAGATAGCGCTGCTATCGGTCATCGTCGAGTAACCATTGGAAGGTTCCGGGGTTCGAATCCCGGTGGGTGCATACTGATGAAGATTCTCAAACTAGGACGGAACAGCTGTCCCGTACTTCATGTTCCTTCGAATGGTTCTCTAACTGGTATCAGCTCAGCGTGATCAAACCTGTATCATAACACAACATATTAAGTCAGCTTTATAGCCTTACGCATAAAAGAATCTGATTAACTCAAAGGTACTATCTTCTTACACTACAAAAATGCGCTGACCTACCGACACACCTTTAAAAAATTAATAAAAACAATCACACTGGACCTAAACTACCGGCTAAAAATAGTTTGTTGGGATGAAAGCCTACACAAGTGAAAATATAGTTGACGTACCTCTTTAGAATTCAGTTCAGGAGTTCAATCTTATTCGTCAAAACTACAACTAAAACACATTGTCAACAAGCGTACTAAAATACTCGAGGGTAAGTTGCCTTCTCCTATAATCAAAAGAAATTATAAATGACCGACTGGTTCTAACATAGAACCATGCGCAGATGTGCAGCAACTCGAGTTGCCACACTCCCTCCATGTACCACACAGAGCAAGAGAAGAGAGTAAAGAGAGGTTCAAAGGAGAAACAATAAACAGAAGGTGAGGGTAAAAGAATAATAATATGAAAGAACAATCGAGTTTTATTGGATGTGACAAATCACATAGAGTGAACGCATCTGCATCATTGAGAACGAGGATTTAGAGCCATATCACCAATTGTCTCCAGTCGCCATTGGTTCTTACCATTCCGAGGACCTCAACCAGGAAGCCTACACCTCTCTACGTGGCTGACTTAACTAACTATTCACTTACTCCATGTTTTCTTTTGACCACCACTAGCTCTTTTCCAACCTGTCAGCTAACATTGCCAGTCGACGAAAGAGATGATGTATAAATGTGCACTGGTGAACATGAATGTATCTATGAACTAAGCAAGTGGGTTTATTATACTATCTCGTTATTGACAGACAAGGAAGGATTTCAATCATTGACTGAGTGGTCTCGTAAACGAACTTCAATTTTTGTTTGATGTGCCAACAAAGAAACTACAACTTGGTTCCTCAAGATGTTACTAATCACAGCTTAGACTCCTGATGGGATTCCCCTCAATTGTAATTTTATCACATAGTTCAGAATCTTTGCAGGTTCATATGTGACAAAAGTCGTAAAGAATATGAAGCATAATGGACTGCCCATATTATCTCACAAGACCAATCACACACAAAAAGTAGAACTTAAATAAACAGCGGAATACCGAAACTGATAAAAATATAGATACGGCAGTCGAAAACCCTTCAAAATACTTCTATGATTTTTTTCATATCAGACAGTAATACACAAGAGTTCTGCGAGGTTACTCTCTCCACTATAATAGACAATGCTGTGGCTCTAGGACTGCCGCCTAAACTGAAACCACCAGGGCTTAGGGCGCTCCACACTAAGTTCTTACTCTTCTCAGTGGGAACTGCATAGTTGCCCCTAACAGGTATATTCACTATGTCTCTGTCTGAGACTAGGCTATCCAAGGACTTGAAAGATGAAGTTGTAGGCTCCATCTCCGTAGAGGGGAACATGCAGTCTGTAACAAATTTCCGATCTGTAGGTGTAGTATACATAGTCGCCAAGGTGTTAAAGAAAATTGTTAAGGAGCGCATACTAGCTCGTGTGGAGAAACATGACCTAATGGAAGAGGGACAGCACAGATTCACATCACAGTAATCCTGCCTAACGAATCTATTGATGGCTAAGAAAAAGTGATGTGGGGCCATGGATAGTAACCTGCTGACTGATGTAGTTTTTATTGGTTCTAGTAAAGCAATCGATAAGGTGCCTCATTTGGGTCTCAGTAAACCAAAAGGGTTCCGATTAGCTAACAGCTTACGGGGTTGGTTTAGGGACTACCAAGCGGGTAGGATGCACAAGGTGAGTAAATGGTATATTTTTGCAATAAGGATGCAGAAGGGTACCATTCCAGACCATGTGCTGTTCTTACTGTATATTAACTGTATATACTGCCGAAAATCTTTGTATTTGCGGACAACACTAAGACTTGGGCAACTGTAAGTAATCATAATAATAATAGCCTAACCTTAAAAATGAATCAGATAAATTAACCAAGTGGTTCGACCGGTGGAGTTTGGGAATCGATTCCAAGAAGTGAGGTGATGCGCCCAGGCTAAAAATTTTATTCGACTTACCTCTCGGGAAAAATAGAACTACCTGACATGATTAAAGGACACGAAATCAGGAAATTACTTTCAGTTATAGCTTAAAAACAGTTGGAGCCAAGGTTTTTTTGAACACTGTGGACAGTTAGGACTTTTGAATGCTGAGATGAGATTACGTTTAAGGTACTCTTGTGAGCATATGTTAGACCCCAACTGATAGGTGGTGTCGAACTTGCATGTCGGAATGACCCAACGAGCTAAACTGGTTAGAACTAATGTTCCCAGAGGTCGCACTATGCTAGAAAGGTTGTTAGGATAGCGACTAGACTAAAAGTAGTTACCAGCATAGTGTAAGATGCCCTCGGCTCTGCGGTTACGCAGAAAGCACCAGTTAGCCAGAGTTCATTTTGAATACTGCGTACAGGAAATTGATCGATGCTCCAAGGAGCTAGAACTCTTGGTAAGAGTACAGTTGGTAGGCAGCAGGCTATTTAGAAGTATCTCGCACATCACTTATGATAAGAGGATAGAAAATCCAAATCTCTTTTCATTAACATACCATAATAAGATGCGACCTAATATGGTTTATGCTGTAATAAATGGTTTGGGTGCTGAAGTTTCTAACCTCTCTTCTTTTTTAAAGCTATTTTTGTCAGGAAATCATAAAAGCTTGTTTAAAATGGAGTGGAACAAAATATAGGAGGAACTCATGTTTTCACACAGAGTGGTCAACAACTAGGACCCCTTACCTGATCAATCGGTATCGACTCCATTTATGAGAAATTGTATCTCTACAGAAATATAAGATCCGAAAGTAACATATCCTACTAGAGTATACTGTTCTTTGTCACTGAATCTGAGTCAACAGTCCTTTTTTTGGCTCCTTCCAATACTTGTCTTTAGTGTGGCGATGTGTACTTCAACTTCGAGCACAGCTATACTTTGATGTATCAGTCATTCCTTCAGGGATGTGATTCTAAAATTTTTCACCGACAGATGTAATTACCTGCTGTCATCAGATTTGTCTTTATCACATTATTATTTTTTTTGAACAATGTTTTCCCTTTATAGTACCGTCACATACTTCTTCCGTCATTTTTTGACTACTTTACCGAAATGTGACTGGTCTGCGCGAAACTGTAGATTAAGTTTTTTAGCCAGTCCCCATTCATTACATTCCAATGCCCAAGTGGAAACGATAGTCTTCTCCAAAACAAACTAAATAATAAAATGAGTTATCAATGGTATGAAATATTGCAACACTAATGATTCTCATTAATCTGTTTGTTGTTCACGAAAAGAACGAACAACTAGTTCTCCATGAAAAAGCAGAATGTCGTGTACTACTAATATGCAATTGGCTAGTTGAACTTTTGTGTTGAATTTTAAGAAACAAATGAGCATTAACGGCGGGAATTCTTTTGGAGTGAATATATATGGAAATGAACTTTAAATTTTCCACTGTGAGACAGTGGTTTTCATTTTCATGAGATAAAAATAACGTTGTAGTAGCACACAGAAGAGTGTGTCATAATTTACATATATGTGTGTTGGTTGGGCCTATAGTAGATTCAGATTATAAGGATAGAAGGCTTTTATTGCCTATGTTAATCCTTACGATATATATCTCTGCAAAGATCTAGTTTCTCTTTGAAAGCGTTCACCGATGGAGCTGTTACTACCGAATCAGGTAAGGAGTTCCAGTCGTTGACCACTCTGTGAGAGAATCTAATTCCACACGTATTTTATTCGACCTCGGTTTGAGCACCTTCTTGTAATGACCTAGAGGGAGAGAAAAGGTTTGAAAGGTCAATCCTTAAATCCCCCTTGAATATACGGTAAGCCAAAATTAAGTCGCCTCCTCGCCTTTGGTATGATAATGGGAAGAGAATTAAATGCTCCATCCTCTTATCATAAGGAAGGTGTGAGATACCACTAATTTTGTTCCTACCCTTTGTACTCTTTCTAGGATATGTGCCTCCTTTATGAAGCATGGATTCACCGCTTGTATGCAGTATTCTAGATGAGGCCTAACATATGCTGCATACAGCACTTGGAAAACACCCTCGTCTAATCGTTTGAAAGCCCTTAGAAGTGTCCATAGCATTGGAAAAGCCTTAGCTGCGGCTCCATTACAATTTGTCGTTGTTTTCAAGTCATGGATTACAATAATTCCCAAGTCTTTTAGTCCCTTAAGATCTGGCAGTTCTGTCCCCTAGGGAGTGCGACGTGTACGGCCTATGACCTAAGTGCATTACCGTGCTGTTCTTGGAATTAATTTCCGGACTCCAGAGGCTAGCCCATTCAGCTAATTTACCTAGATCGTGTTTTAGTACCAACCTATCATCCTTATTTATTCGCAGTTTCCTAATACCGTCCGCAAATATTAAGGAAGATGAGGTAAGGATCTTCGGCACTTCATTTACGTATAATAGGAATAGCAGGGGGCCAAGTACAGTTCCCTGAGGTACTCCACTTAGCACTGCTTTCCAACCTGACAGTACATCATTAACCCTTACTTTCTGCCTTCTATCCATCAGGTAGTCTCTAAACCACTCACATAAGCGTTGGTCTAATCCAAAACGTTTGAGTTTACTAAGAAGACCTAAGTGGGATACCTTATCGATAAAGACAACGCCCAATAGATGGTTCTTACCCCTGGCCTCGAACCAATCTTTCCTAGCTGACAGTAAATTTGTCAGGTAGGATCGCCATGGTCAGAATCCATGCCGTTCCACCGCCAGTAAGCTAAGAGCTGATCCCTTATGGATGTTTCCAATACCTTTGCAGGTCAGACTTACAGGCCAGTAGTTGTATACTAACTGTCTGTTCCCTTCTCTGAAGATGGGGCTTATAAAAGTATCTTTCCAGTCCCTGGGCAGCCTAGCCTGAGTCAGAAACATTTAAAAAATCACCGTAAGTAGGATGTATATTATATCCGCCAAGGCAATGTCAAGATGAACTTCAGATGTTTCCGAGACTTTAAAGTACATTTCACTACAGTGAAACCAGCCTAATTATTTGAGTGGTGGAAGGAAATGCCTCTCTAGGATTTAAATATTAGCTTCTAAGAAAGCCTGGTTAACACTCTGGCTTTACATTTTACTGTTGGATATGAGAAATGAGGAACTGAAACCCAGTACGTTCGGGCAAGAGATTTAGGCAAACTATCGACTTCAGATGTTCAGTACTGTTCAAAAACATGAAGGTTATTAGACATATCGTTATCTTATTGACATGCATATACAAATGATTAAAACCAGAATGCTGGCTAACCTTAATGGTCACTGAACTTCGGTGTGGAAAGGAAAGCACGACCATGAAACCAATGCACCATCCACTAACAAATTGCCTCTTGTGCAAAGTGAAGCCGTTAAAAAAACACCTTGTCCAACTGGTGTCAATTCACTCAAGCAGTATGGTAATCTGGAAGAGAAAACAGGAGAAATACGTAGAAATATAAACCATCAGGCATAAGAACATACTACTGTTCTACACGTACACTTAATTTTATAGCTTAATGTGGAAATTTGAGGGAAATGCATTGAAATGCCTCCAAGATCCTTAAGGACGCAAAAGTATTCTGGGGTGTTATCATGAGGTTCTCGGCAAAGTTAAACTATCATAGCCAAAACCACAGTGACCCTGAGTCGCCAATTAGAATTCAGATGCAAAAAAGCCGCATAATCGTTGAAAAATACACTAAAAGAATATTGCGAATATGAGATCACTCTGTACAGTTGTGGCTTATGTATTGTAAGAATGTCTCCCAGAAACTACACAGGTGATCTATAGAGAGATAGTACCATGAGCGACATATCCATTCATAAGGGTGACTGTAGCATGACTTATGGGTTGTGGTACTTTGATATCCATTTATATTTCTGACACATTTCAGCAACCTACTCCTAAATCTAACCATAGTCATAAATCCTAGCTCTAAATTTAACCCTAATCCTGACCTAAATCCCAGATCCTAAACCTTAATTTTAAAAGTCATGACCCTGTCTAACAGTATAAATTTGAAAAAACATGTATCTAGTAAATGACTAGAATACTGTGTTTTTCGAACGATACTGTATCCTACTCATTTACTAGATACATTTGGAGAGGATCCTCTTGAAAGTCAACTTTGAAGAACCTTGACTTTGATTTTTTAACGTCGCTGTATTTTCTCAGAGACAAGTAATTGCTTGTTAGACCCTTGGTACGTCCACCTGCTTCGATCGCTTTACTTAAACTTGGCCAATAAGGGCGCTCAATGTATATAGCAATACACAGATGATAAAAAGATGCAGAAATTCTGAATGGGGACTAAAAAGGAGAAGTATGACTTCAGTTCACCACATACGCAGTATTAGCGACATTTTTGTAAAGCGCGGTGACTACCCAGTCGGTTACTTTTTTTTTCGACCTGGGATATGTGGGTAAAAACGTGGGCAGTTTTCCGTTGAAATGTGGGCAAAGTGGGATAAAGTGGGCTGTAACATGGGTAAAGTGGGAAAACGGGGTAAAAGTGTTGAATTGTTCGTTGAAAACGTGGGAAAACTGGGTAAAAGTGGGTACATTTGTTATTCCGGCACATGGGATAAGTGGGTAAAAACGTGGGTTAAGTGGGAAAACTGGGAAAAAGTGGGACAAAACATTTTTCACTGACATGGGAAAACGGGGAAAAAGTGGGAAATGTGGCCAAAGTGGGTAAAATCGGTTGCATTTACACCATCTTTTGCCCACGTGTTTGCCGATCTAAATTACCCTTTTTTCCCACGTTTGCCCACGTTTGGCCATGTGAATTAACCGACTGGGTATACTCATTCAATATCCAACAATATTTTGGCGAGCTTGCATAAACTATGTGATTATTTGAGAATTGCTTCTAGCCACTTTGCAATAGAATGTAGAATCCAACATGAACTATTCCCTTTATTTCTGTGGCTGTGTTGAATGAGAATGCATGTGGGTGGGGCGGGGAAGCACCAATCTGAATTAACAGTCTGCTACACAAACGCCCGCAGCCTGTTAAATAAAAGGAATGAGCTGGTTAACATGATAGAATCCGGAAACCCGGATGTAATTATTATCACAGAGACATAGCTCACACACGATGTTACTGATAACGAAGTTAACCTGCCAAACTTCGAAGTGCTTAGGGTGGACCGACTAAACCGCAAAGGAGGTGGCGTAGTCATCTACCTCAAGAAAGGCCTAACCGTGCGTAGTATCGAAGCACTCACCCACGAAAGTGAGTCGTGAGAACTTCTACGCTGCAGACTTAAATGCATAGGCCAAGACATTGACCTCATTGCTGTGTACCGCAGTCCTGGATGCAGTGCAGATGACTTCCTAATAGAGAAGCTAGGCTCCTGGACTTCAAAATGTCGAAGTCTCGTAGTCAGCGACTTCAACGCCCCAACAGTTGACTGGTCGAGCCTAACAACTCCATCTTCAGTCAACTCCTTCGATCATAAACTGCTGGAATCTAGTATATTGCTAGCCCTAGTCCAACATATCATTAAGCCCACGCACTATGACTCTCAGCACTCCTCGTCAACTCTGGACCTAGTGTTCTCCAACGGTGAGGATGTGGATCTCATACAACATCTACCTCCTTTAGGAAGAAGTGACCATGTTCTACTCACTTTCAAGTTCATAGCAACGGCAGCAACGGCCAAAACCATAGATCGACCAATCGTTTGGAAAGCTGACATAAATGCGATCGTCTCGGCAGCCAACTCGGTAAACTGGTACATCAACCCAGAGTCCCAAGTAGAAACCGCATGGAAACAAGTTAAACAACTTTACGCCCAAGTAACTGAACCTTTTATCCCTTGGTCTGTCCCAAAGTGTCGGAAACATTTCCCCCTTTGGATAAACCGGGACATTCGTAATTTACTCAGACGTATACACAAATGTTGGAACCTGTTTGCCACGCTTGAGACTTCTGAGACCAGGAAATTATATAACACTGCTAGAAATAAAGCTATTGCAGAAATCCGACAATCAAGGATGAAGTTCAAGGCGCACCTGGCTCAAAATGCAAAGGCACGACCTAAGAAAATTTTCTCGTACTTGAATTTCAGGAATAAAACATCCAATGGTGTCCCAAACCTGATTATTGACAAAGATACAATCGAAGAAGATCAAGAAAAAGCAGAAGCAATGGCAAACTACTTCTCCCAAGTATTCACTCAGGAGTCATCACTGCCTACAGGGTCAGCTCTGGCTGCATCATTTCAATACTTCCTTATTACTGTGCGATTAACCGTATTTAAGATATAAATCTATTGTGTAACTCTTTACAATGACAACCTCATTATTATTCTAATGATTTTTCTGGTTTTATTGTTACATTTTGCTTCGCTTCAAATTTGTTAGCATTTTCGAATATGTACACTTATATTATCAAACCTCCGAAAATTTAAAATCTTCAGTTTGGTTTTCATACCGGAAACGCTTGTATATTTCTTCTGTCATTGTAATTGACAATATCATTCCGAATACAGCTAAACTTTATTTACCTGCATTCTACGGAGGGGCTATTGTAGTGACCCATTTTATTACTCATCATTATAGCATACTTTCACTATGTAATTGAACTTTGATTTGTTTATCACTCTGAAGATTGCGTGTTATCAATTGATAATTTGTACTCACTCAACTTTTGAACTTTGATTACTGCGTTAATACACGTTCGTACTCCTTCTCAAAGGCCTTTTGATTTACGTTGTGGGCGTTGAGAAAACACATCGTTGAGACACTATAATAATCGCGGAGAAGTACTAGGATACACGTGTACGCAAATTTGGTCAAATAGAGCACGTCAATAATTGCATGAACCATATATTCAAGTGTCCTGCCACGCAAGCAATCGGCAAATGCTCAAGAACGATATCGAACAACAATTTTCACACAAATTCATCCAACGAGAGCAAAATAAGCACCAAAATCGCGTCAACCGCGTTTTCCTGGACGACTAGCCCCAACTCGAATCAACTAAACGGCGTATATGCCGTCAAGGCGCTACTTAAAATTGGGGATTCGCCATATAATGGCAGCCTGTACACGGCCGTAGGTCATTTGATCAGCTGATGGATACTGGCTATTTTATTAAAAAAACCTCAAAGTTAGGCTATTTGTCGTTCTTTTATGCACTATTACACTTGTATTCTTGATAAACGTTGATGGAATACGGTGATTTTAGCATAAAAAGCAGGTGATGGTGTCCTTATCCGGCCGTAAATTGCAGCCAACTTACAAATTGTTGAAATACGTACTTTTCCGTACAGAAAGTGTTATATTACTTGAATGTTTTAATGACTTTTTGTGAATTATTTTGCTGTTTAAGCGATTACGCACGGACATGATTAGGTGGGATAGTTCGTTGTTCATTTAATTTGTTGTGTACTTTTACTAATCCTGTGAAGGCTCCTCCACATGTGTTTCATTAAGGGAAGTCTACAGAAATACCTAGAAATTATATACGTATAATATTTCCTTATTCTATGGCGTGAACTTGATGTTTACGGGCAGGTACAATATCGATTTTGTATTCTCTAAAAATGTTGACTGACGTAATTATACACAATTTAACTAATTATTTCGTCATTTTAAACATGTTAAGTGGCTGATTATTGTATTTACACTGGTATCAATGTCTACATCTTTAGAAGTCTTTTTCAGATAATATCTTTCGAGAATCTCATGGATTTGGGTGATAAAGAAAAATATACCCGCAGTGTTGTGGATTTTGTATTACATGTTTATTCATTAATAAATGTATTCCTCGTTATTCGTTTGTTTATTTTACTTGATAAGACTGATTTCAAGCCTTTGCGTAAGTTGTGAGGTAAGGAGTATATGACGTGATCTTAGAAATGCTAAGTAAAATTAGATATCCGGAGAGGCTTATTGATAAAAAGACTACGTCGTACTGTAATGAAGTTACTGAGTCCACTTGTAAAAGAAAACATTGAGATTATAAGCGCTTAGAGTTGTGTATCGTCTTAGTAGGAACCTATTAACGGACTTCGGATTCATAGTCACACAAGGTGAAAAGTAAATCTACCTGAGATAGTATGCTTCCGATTTCTACTTATCGTAATAAACCACAATGGGAATAATTTTAACTATATTGTTCGATATGTGTAACCAAGTGCAAATATGGTTATTGTAATAACGGTAAAACAATGCCAAGGGTTCACCGAGACGGAAGCTAGTACGTTAAAATCTATTCGTTTAACCGTTTCAACAACATTTTTCGTAAGTTAGAGTGAAGAAAACTTTTTATAGGAAAATTTATTTACAATTGTCTTTAAAAATATGTACATAGATCGGTCCGAGCTTGATGATGTAGATGCCTGACGCCTGTGCACCAGCTTCAAGCAGATAATTGTATACGTAAAGAAACGCACTTCTACATATCCTAGGGTGCGTCTGTTGAAGGCTTCTGATTTGATATATTATTCTTTGTATGAGCATCTCCACGTCCAAGTCCACCGCTGGTGTCGATTGTGATTGGATGACAGTGTGATTGTTGTCTCGTAACCACCTAGTACTATGTCTAAACACATCTTTTACAGATTAACTTGAGGCCTATATGAACTTACCCAGACGTGTATATATATGACATTTGGTATGAACTAGATGACGCCATGGCAGTGGCATATTGCTGTTTTGAAAACATGTGCAGCTGCAGTCAAGTTTGTCCACAACGAAGTATCTTTCACCTTCTTCGGATAACACGTATGCTTCTATGCAATCCGTGGCTTTCATTTCCGGATGCCTCTTGATGCTTTTGTAAAGTGCATAGGGGGCATAGTTTGTTAGATGCCTCAGAATGTTGGAAAGGCCTTCGTCCACCTAGAAAAATTTCAGCTTACAACTATAGGACCTACGTCAAAATTAATGAAGTAATGCAGATTGCGATTTTCTCCACCAGCCTTTCTTCCCGACGACTCTATAGGACAATTCCAAATCTCCGGATGCTCAACTTCAATGGGAAGCACTTCCTGAGATGTGTCTTCATGTGCTTATGGCAGCATTCGACTCTGTTATTGGTTTTTTGCAAAGAGTGACAACGTCTTTCATATAACAGGCTGCCCACATATTACGACAACTCCATAAGTTTTTATTTATGTACTACGTGGCTGCAGGATACTACAACCTCATTAAAGTCATCAAGTCACTAAACCTAAAGAAGTGTTAACACAATCTCGTAATTGCCTGTCGTTATTCGTTGTGTACACCATCTCTTTAAATATCTTTTTACACTGAGGATCACGGAACTTAAGGATGTTAGCTTAAGTACTTTACAGTACTCACTGTGGCATTCTTAGGTGCTTGCTTTCTGATCGTCGATGTCGACAAACATGACACGAAAATGAAACATATAAGCTGGGTTCTGGAGGAA